TATCTCTGTCACTTTCCTTCCCATTTTTTACTTTGTTTCACTGCACCTTACTTTACGTCACACCACTCCACCCCACCCCACTCCACCCCAGTTCACTTCATTTCACCCCACCCCACATCACTCTACCCCACTCCTCCACACTCCACCTCACCCCTCTCCACTCCATTCCACCCTACTCCACTCCACTCTACCCCACTCCACGTACACCCCACCACATCCCATCCCACTAAACCTAACCCTACTCTACACAACTCCACTCTACTCCAACCCACTCCATTCCACTCTAGTCCACTCCATTCCACTCCACTCCACTTCACGTACACCCCACCACATCCCATCTCGCTCCACCTAACCCTACTCTACACCACTCCACTCTGCTCCAACCCACTCCATTCCACCCTACTCCACTCCACGCCACCCCACTCCACGTATACCCCACCACATCCAATCTCACTCCACTTAACCCTACTCTACACCACTCCACTGTACTCCAACCCACTCCATTCCACTCTAGTCCACTGCACTCCACTCCACCCCACTCCACGTACACCCCACCACATCCCATCTCACTCCACCTAACCCTATTCTACACCACTCCACTCTACTTCACCCCACTCCATTCCACACTACTCCACTCCACTCCAGCCCACTCCACGTATACCCCACCACATCCCATCCCACTCCGTCTAACCCTACTCTACTTCGCTCCACTCTACTTCACCCCACTCCGTTCCATCCCACTCCATGCCACCCCACCCCACTCCACGTACACCCCACCACAACCCATCCCTCTCCACCCAACCCAACTTTACTCCACCGTGACGTCCGTATCACTCTGTGCGGTTTTTTCAAACATCATTTACCTAGCTCTTAACCCCATGATGTAACTTCCCCACCTTGCGTAAGAAGTTGCTTAGTTTTTTCCCTCTGTCATCAGACGTCTTGCCAACTGTCGCATTGCAAACGTTTTGAGCCGGCAAATGGTTGCTCAGCGGTAATCTACTGTCTATTGCCATTTGTATACCACTGGCCAGGACACGCACTGCATCAAACACGCGACCCACGGAAGCCTGGGAAACGATAGCATAAGGCTTATCACAAATACTGGTCATCTATTCGTCCTTCGCTCCTCCAGATTGTCAAAAGTTAGAACTATCTTGTACCACATGCATATACTGTCAGATAGCTTTTATTTGAATGATCTCACGTCCAGTTGGATATCCACTTGGGTTCATGCAGAAACTTAAAAGTTAGGACCACTTGTGGAGCACAACAAATAGTACCACATGAAAGTACGGCTCAGTAGCTTTCGTTTGAATGGTCAAACGTAAGGATCCTATCCTCAGAGTTAAACGTTGGAACACTTTGTACAGCATAAAAGACAGTGACACAAACTACTCAAGAGCAATTTTTTTAATTTCAGACTCTGTGATTTCATTCTGGATTTGATTCTGAAAGAGAAAGTTTTAAATAGATTGACTCCTCTGGCACATACCGTGATCCCTTCTGTATTACCAGACTGTTTCCATAGTAACCTGACGTGTTCATTATGAAAGCCACTTCCAACACTTTGACGAAATCCAATGAGCCCTCTCATGTACACTGGGAAGGACCCATTCGGCAAAATGTGTTTCTACATTAGATGAAGAAAAGCACGACCAACACGGTTCATTTAATGACTGGCACCGTTGGAAACAATGCGTTTTGTTTCCTCGTGACAGAGAGATACAACTAGTTAATCAGTTAAGCAATTAGATTATTCGCTCTCGATTTCTATCGCGTGATAGTTGACGAGGGCACGGCCCGAGTCAACTATCACACATAGAAATCGAGAACGAATAATCTAATTGTTTTAGTATAAATCTACTAGTCAAAACTTTATCTAAATTCTCTTCACAGACACTTCGAAAATGCCAAGAAACGGTCGTCATTTTGTTAACAAGCACACACTGCTACGCTACTCCCTATCTATCACAGAATAGATAGCGAGTAGTGTAGCCCCAATCAGAGAGCAGTATTCGTGATAGAATGCTACTAGATTTGTACTAAAACGCTACAGGGCTGGCATTAATAACCCGAAAATGGTATAACAGGCGAGGTTGCAAGAATCACCGGAAGAATCACGTGGCTGTTACCTCGCTAACTGCAGAATCCGTTAAGACCCAAGCAAAGTTCTCAGTCAGTCCCAGTTTCCACGCTTGTTTCAGTACATTCGTGACTTGCTCAGCGCCGCACTTTAACACAATAACCCTTGCGTTACTACGTTTTACTCTGTTCAGTATCGGTTCAAGATTCGGGTTTATATACTCGTCGGAGTCTTCCGTGGATGCTACGCGGAAATATTCTGCATATGTCAGAGTGATCTCATTTTCTCTGAGGTTGTTTACGAAGTCTTGAATACCTTCCCTTGCTGCAAAATAGAATCTTTGGATTGCAAATGAACTAGACTAGAGGATCGAATTGAGCCTCTAATTAACAATTAGATTATGAGTTTGAGATTTCTGTCGCGTGATAGTTTACGAGGGTTCAGCTTGAGTCGATTATCACGCATAGAAATCTAGAGCGAATAATCTAACTGTCTCAGTATAAATGTACTAGCAGTCGTTCAAAACCTTATCTAACTCCTCTTCACAGACACTTCGAAAACGCGAAGAAGCGGCCGCCATTTTATTAACGACCACACACTGCTACGCTACTCACTATCTACAACTGAATAGATAGTGAGCAAAGTAGCCAAAAAGAGAACGCTACTGGGGATAGAGCGCTACTAGATTTATACTAAGAAGGATTGCTAGAATTCTATTAGTATACTAATGTAAATACTTCAATCTGATTGGCTTCAGTTAGCTATCGCACACTGGCAGGAGAATACTAAGCCAACGTTTTCTCGTTTCTCCGATGTTACGTAGGGAGAATAACAACAATCGAATGTTTATGCAGGATAACCCTTTAAGGGTCATTACTCTGAGAACGTTGCGATGATTTTATTCAGTTGTGAATTCCTGACCTGATTTGTCAGAAGAAGCAATCACAGCTACTCTTTTCCATCCGAAGTGCTTTATAAACGCCACGATGCCTATGAGCTGCGGTAAGTCAGCAGGGGTCATGCGTAAGACATACTCGTTGTTGCAAGGGTTGATGAAGGAGCTGAGACCGCTGACCTGGATGGCGACTTGAGGGACATCAAGTTGTTGACATAGTCTTTGTGTTGCTTCAAAGTCGAGCGAGTTCTTGGGTCCTACGATAGCTATGGCTCCTCTTTGAACCAAACCAATCGCTGCATTAATTAAAATTTAAACAAATAATAATTATAATAAACCAACAGATAGTTTAGGAGTTCCAGATGTGGCCTAGTCTCCGTCACGCAACGAGCGTAGCGTTGTGTTGCGTGACTGAAGAATTCACGAAATGCCGGGAGATGTAAAGCTGGATTGTTAAACTAATTTTAATCTCTTTCTCAAAATTCGAATTCTCCTAGTCGGTCCCCATAAATTTCGTATGGTACTGGTTAGGAGAATAAGAACAACCAGTATACTTTTTATTAGACTACATAATTAAGAAATAGAAAACATGTACCGTGTTTCTATCGAGTTTTAGTATAAATCTACCAGAGTTCTATCACGAATGTCGTTCGTTGATTGGCTACTTTACCCACTATCTATTCTGTGATAGGAAGTGAGTAGCGTAGCAGCGTGCCCTTGTTAAAAAAATGACGGCCGCTTCATGGCGTTTTCGAAGTGTCTGTGATGAGAATTTAGATAAAGGTTTCAACGACTAGTAGATTTATACTAAAACAATTATACGCTCTAGATTTCTTTGCGTGATAGTTGACGAGGGCGCAACCCGAGTCAACTATGGAAGTTTGGGTGTCGACTATGGAAGTTTGGGAGAACGAGAAATGCTGTGGAAACACGTGTTTCTACGGCTTTTTCGAGTTCTCCCAAACTTTCACGAGTGTTTCTATTAAACAATTAGATTATGAGCTCGAGATTTATCGCGTGATAGTTGCCAGTCGGGCTGCGCCCTCGTCAACTATCACGCGATAGAAATCTCAAGCTCATAATCTAATTATTAGATAGTAAGCAGCGTAGCCAATCAGAGAACGGCATTCGTGATAGTACGCTAGAAGATTTATACAAAAACTCGATAGAAACACGGAGGACATGTTTTCTATTTCTTTTAGAACACCGCGACGAAAAAAAGGAAAACAACTTGTTAACTTTGATTATCAAAATGTAAATTCTCTTTACTCGCGCCATCGTTACGTCAACTGCTCGTGCTAGTTCTGTGTTGCGAGAAACACGGTTTTTACCAATCAACGCACGTATTTTCTTAGGACTGTTTTCTAACATACACATACTACATCATGTAGGTTGAACCTACATTCACACTTATATAGCAACAAAATCAAACATCAATTGAGTAAAACATAGCAGCAGTAAAATCAAGTTTGATTATTCAGAAGGTGGTATTTGTACTCTTTCTTGAAGATATTGTTGGGCAAATACTTAATTCTGAGGGGTACAGATTCCCAAAACTTTTAAACCCCTATCGCGAGAAAATCGTTTTGTACTGTGGATGCCCGGTAAAAGTCATGCAACAATTAAACCGTATTCAGACAAAAACTGCAGAATCAGTTTTAGTTTATTTTTATCGCATGTTATAATGACATTCTTTGAGGCAACTGAGCGTGTCTAATAATATAACGAGCAATTAGTGCTCTATAGAAAATCCCTAATCAGAGCACAGGCTAATGAGATCAATCAATTAACGCTACATGTACCTAATTTTTATATGCATTTTTGAATCACTGAGTTTGTTTAAAGTGCCGTTTAAAGTTAGATGTATCTCACACAATCAACCGAATCTAGCGAAAAGTTTCAATCAAAGTTTTGGCTAAAAGCACGCCCGAAATAAACAGTTGACACCAATTTCGTTAGTTATGCATCTGTACAGGAATTGACTTACAGATTTATAAAATCTTAACGCGTTAAAATGTTGTCTCCTTTAGGACGATCGACGTTATGAGGCACGATACTGCGGTCGAACTTCGCGAGCAAACAAGAATAATTCGATTGTCTTCACTTGAAAATGTACCTTTCTCCATATTTGAAAATTCGTCCACAGACTCTGCCGTTTCCACTAACCCAGTTATCGTTGCATCTCTCAGCAAACTGGAATCTTTGTTTGCAGAATCAACCGCCAACTTAAACGCCTCTATCTCCAGCGATTCAGTGGTTCCAGGTGGAAAAATCCCCCCTTAACCGAAAAGTAAGTTGATCAGTCAAACTTTCGATGGCGCCTTGCTTCAAATACATGTCTGTTTGTGATTATAAGTGAGTGCACTTTTTAAGTGTTTCCTTGACTCTTACCTATCAAGACCCGAGTTTTTACAGCTTCGCTTTCAAGACGCACCGTCCAAAGTAAGAAAAACATAGCGACATCGTTTAGGGACATCTCTAACGGGAAACGTGTGTGTGTAGCCGATTCGGTTCGAGCGACTTATCAGACGGTAAATTATGCTTTCTTTACTTTTTGTTTTCCTGTGAATAAATCAGTGTATTGTTTGCTGGCTAAGTCTTTTGCTGACAGATTAAACAATTGTCTATAGTTTACAGAGCATCGCGCCAACAATATGAAAAGATTTTTCATAGAACCGCAAAGTGCTTTGGCGAAGCTCTTGTAACGGTTTTATTATGGCTTTTTAAGGCTAATGGTTAATTTCTTTTCCTTACGGTTAACAGAAATCTTAGAAATTAATTACCATTGTTTCAAAAAGTTAAAATTAATTTTCACTGCTTAAAAAAGTTGAAAATTTACTTTTATTCTTGTAGAATTACATATTTATGACCGTTGCGGCCGTCACAGCTGCCCTAAACATAACTTATGAAGGGCTTTTGGTGACAGTCTTATTGATAATGATGAAAAAAGTACCTTCTTCTAAAGAACATACCCAGTTCAAGACTAGAGTGCAAACATCATACCCTATTTATGACCAAAATGGCCAAAATCGATACCCTCAGATTTATGGCCAGACGGTTGAAAAACCATACCCTTTGGGGCCGCACAAACCCATATAGCCCATAGAAGGGAGTACCCCCTGGGGGGGGGGGCACTTTCTCGCCAATTCAAGTCACGAGAGCATAGCAATCAGTGCAATCAGTTGTACGTGAGAAATCGCCAATCATTCCTAGCTGTCGAACGTGATTCACCAAACAACAGTAGCAAAGCCAAAGATCGCTTTTTTTCACGCCAACCGACTCCTACTAACAATTCAAAATTAACCCAATATTCATTTGCTTGTGAGTCTTTCTTTTAAATTCGTCGTAACACATGGTTCGAAAGCGAGCGGAAGTCAAGGCAAGTAAGTAAGCAAGTAAGTAGAAGCTTTATTAAGACTAAATCCAGTTCCCCATGACCCAATAACGGAAATTTGGACCTGGCTCCGGTGTCGTCTGGCCTTATCAGTCTCGGCTAAATATAATGGTGACAGTATGTGACTACTCTAACCACATATTTTTAAAACCAGCCGTTAAATAATGGAGACTTTCTTCCTTGTGTCATCATCATATTTCGGTTTTAGTGAGATTTTAAGCGCACGCGATTTTTTACTGTTTCGTCACGAATTGTCACCTCAGTACATGTAGTTCAACTCTCTTCACCAGGAGCCGTGCGCTGAGACCTCAATTAAAAGTATTTTTCATTTGGCTATTTTATCATACTTTAATTTTTATGCCCGGAAGATTTTATCGGCTTGAAAGATTTCGTGACGACGTCTCAGGTTTTCATCTGATCGTGTTATCCGTCGTCGGATTGGATTTAGTTCAGTTCTCAGAAACTTCTTGCGGTAAACCAGTTGTTAGTACATGACATTATTTTGAGTCGTGTCTGTGTTGTAAGACGGAAAATGTTTCGCCTCCACGCTTTTCTTCCGGCAAACATTTACAACATTAAACGGCTAAAAAACCTCAAGTCTTGATCACCGGCATGTTAGATGTCAAACCAATTACGATTTATCTCTAATAACATTGCCACATACTAAGAAGAAATCGCCACTAGGGGGCAATACGCCAATTAGTGGGAAAATATTTTACGTATTTTTTATCAAAGAACTTGTACGTGCTTGTTACTTGAGTACTTATTCACCTCACATTCTTAACTCGTTGCGTCTCCGTTATTTTCCCCATTCTTGTTGAATCAGCGCCAAATCGCGAGTGTTTGGCGCCACGTGGAATAAATTTGCTCGTGATAAAGATGTGTCCTGTTGGAAGCCAAATGGGAGCCAACTGAGGTCAACTGACAGTGTTTCTTGCCAATGATAAACTAAGAACGAGGTGCAGATAAAGTATATTAAAAAGTTTCCAGTGGTTGACAAAATGAAATGAAGTTTCTTCCGGCTTGCCACTAGCCAAATAAATACCGTGAAGTAATTTCTACTGTAAAGGTATTTGCACCCACGCGTAAATAAGTGATGTTATCTTGAAATCGATTGAAACAGGAACTCGTATCAAAACCGGACCGGAAATATGACATGGAATGGACAACACGCGGCGATTTGCAGGCGAATGAAAGGTTGCGACAAAACACCGTTTTAAGGATATTTCAGGTAAAGAAAAGTTTCCGAAATCAAAAGGGGAAGGTATTGTCACGCCCTCAGGCTTTGCACAGCATGACATATCCAAACGGCCAAAAAGTTACAGCTTTCGAAACTTAACGAGTCTCGTGTCAATGTATTTTTCTTGAAAAGGAAACTGAAATGTATAACTCTGCTTTGTCTGGAGTTCTATTGTAAAAAAACAAAAAAAAAAAAAATACTTGCATGATTATGAGCAAGTTTTGCCTGGTTATCAGTTTTTCATACCAAAAATTCTGGTTGGCTTTCAAGTTCACGTAACTTCTTTTTGGTTCAGTTGTAAATCAAGGCAAATCACACACCGTAAGCGATTTTCTTTATTGTCGACAACTGATTGCGTATATAGACAACATTAATACTAAAACTGCGCTTAGAAGCTTACGTATAGACACATTATATGTCTCCGAAACGATGATAAAGTTTCACGTGAGCGCAAAAGACTTCTGCTGCTTGTCGCGAGCGGAAAATGGGTTTATTACTTAGCATAGGTTTATAAAAACCGCAGCTTACAGATCTGATGAAGACAGGAACAGATGGTGTACAGGGTCAGAACGAAACAAGGAATTCTATAACATAACGGAAATTGAATCTAAATGGTCTCCGCGTGTCATGGCGTGGAGAAATAAAAAATATTATGTGCAGGCGCCAGTCTAAAAGTCAATGACTGAATCAACGAGAAAAGACTTTCTCTACGTTGGTTTTTTTTGGTCGATGCTGCTTTTTTGTGGATGCTGTTAAAAAACAGCATCGACAATAGAGTTTTAGCTCATTAAAGTCAGTGTGTACCGGGTAACTCAGACATCACTGGACATGGAAAAAATGTCCTATTGGTACATGTACACCAAGCGTGTTTTTCTTGACTGGCCGAAACGTTTTTTTCTTACGAGTGATAAAGCCTTCATTTTAAATTTCGCTATTTGCGTTGGTCTGTGATACTGCGGCCTTGGCGGCAATTATTCCGCTTACGTAGAATTTATTTATCCGTGAAAATGGCGACTTTCCAAGAAACGAAACTGATGCGGAGGGATGTTGCTGATTTTGCTTGTTGAGGAAAAATGTAAACTTTCTGAGTTCCTTCGGAATACACTGAAGAACAGCATCCTTAAAATCACGCCAATATTCTGACGTCTGTGAAAAAGTCCCAGGCCCTTCTCGAAATATGACAAAAAATCACCCAAGTGTCTTTCCAAAAACTCTCAAAAACGTTCGAAAAGATCACAAAAAAATGTCTAAATATCTCGAAAAACCCTCGAAGTGTCTCGTATTTTTGCTTCAAAATGGACCGATTTTGACGACAGGCGAAAATTTTAAATATTTTTGCAGAAGTGAAAGGAGGAAGAAGATTCAGGCGCCCCGATGTTACAAGCATCCGCCATTTTGGGATATTGCGGTTTTTAGTAGAGCTTGTGTTGATATGAAATTATTGCAGTATATTTTTCAAGTGGGAAATCGCTGCACTAGCTTGTTTCTGGCATAGAACTGAGTATTGTCTCAGGAAAATAGCGAGAAAAACAAAAGGCTCAGCCAAAAAAGCTATGAATATTTCTTAATATTCCTAAATTCTCTAAGAATCTTAATATTTTCTAAATATCTCGGAAACTTCTAAAAGCCCAAAAAATATTCTGATATTTGTGAAAAGGCCTAAAAAGTCTCCTACCATCTTGTGGTTGAGTCAAAAATATTGAGTGCAATGAGTCTAGGAATACCGCCTTTGACAGCGCTGTGTTAATTACTTCGATGGCCGACCCAGATATTCAAAGAGACCTGTTTTAAATAGTAATGACTAGGTTCAAAAAGTCATGAAAACGGAGCACATATTAAAAGTGGGATTCCAGACTGGCTTTGCCGCCAAAGTATGAGCTTTGTCTGGGAGATTCAGTTCTCGTAACTTGGAAACTCTAAAAATACCGTTTGCTTTCCAAATAAACGGACTTCAAATTGAGTACTTGGATGATTCTGGAATGAGTTCTCTGGTTTTCTGGTTGCGAGAGTCACTGAACTTTACGTGAACTCAGATACACTATGACAAGACAGTACAGCTGTTGAAAACGGTGCATGTTCTATACAAGAACGAAATTTATGTACCTCTCGAATCGTTCTTCAAGGGTTTTTTGAATGCAAAAGCTAAGAGAAAGTTCAAGGTTCAAAGTATTCGAGAATAGACTATATATATGGCACGTATATTAACTAATTACTCATGATGATCATGCAGCTCTTTCGAGAGGAACTGAAGAGGCCAATTGAGTGTGACGCGAAAGTACTTCAGAATTGCTAAATTCTTATATCAGACCTCTGTGGTTTAGTTCTCCTGGACTTTTTCCAGGGTTAACCTTTTAGAACTTGACGAAAAGATCCATAAATTTCTCGGTACACATGTAAAAGCTGCCTTATGAAAACATTGACTATTTCCACATTCAGTACAAAGTGTTGGGAACGAAACCAAGTCTATCGTGCGATTCGTACAAAGCGTGACACTCAAATGCCAAGAAATCTAGTTCATAATCAGAATATCAGTATTTTCAAATGAAAGCTACACCCATTTATCTGCTGCAGAGATTTGTGCTGTTCTTTTTTAAACCGGCTGTTGAATATATCCTGACTTGAAATCCTTGAAGCAATTGAAGCGAATATGGAAGGTTTTCTCGCACCCAGTCAGGTTTTATGTCACACTCAAGGAGACTGAAAGCACAGGTATAAGTAGAGAAATGTTTTGAAGTTTAATACTACAAAATAAACTTAAACACATCAGTGATACATTTATGTCAGCTAAAGACCCAAAATAAAAGCTTGATAATAACGTGGACTAAAATATACGTGGCTCTGTTCTAATAGAAACAATATTTTACTTAGCAAGCGGATATTAGTGATAACATTTTAGGGCGGCAGCAGTTTGCTTTCAACGAAAACAAAAAAAATGAGCTTCTATCGTTTGGAACAGGCTTGGTTACACGCGTCAGGGCGAGGCGATTTACAGTCATCAGTCACGACAAATTTCAACTGCAATTTCCTCCCCGCAGCAATTTATTAAGGGGAGGCGCTGAA